GTTGCCTTCTCACCAAGCTGTTTGCCTATTGTCCTGTAGCCCATCCCAGCCTTGTGCAGGTCTACAATTTTGTCCCTAGTGTCCTTAGACAGCTCTTTGGTCTTGCCCATAGTGGAGAAGTTGGAGTCTGATAGATTGAGTGTGTGGACAGGTGTCTTTTATACAGGTAACGAGTTCAAACAGGTGCAATTAATACAGGCAATGAGTGGAGGATAGGAGGGCTTCTTAAAGACAAACTAACAGGTCTGTGAGAGCCAGAATCCTTGCTGGTTGGTAGGTGATTCATTCGTCAAGATCCAATGTGTGATTTAAGTGATCCCTCAGTTTTTTTGAGCAATTTACTTAACACCTTAACATTAATCAACATCCACTGCAGCTTTTTTGTTGGCAGCCTGATTCTCCCTTCATCCTCTCTTATCCAGTTGATCTGAAGGAGAAAATCCACATAATTGCCCCCAAAACACAGCATTAATCCTTTGGTTCCTCCAGACCGGGATAACATTTGGGCTTGCAGCTGATCCCCACTGTGTAACAGTTTTCTCAGAGGGCAGTTGCACTGCAGCTCCATGCAGATACAGACACTAGAAAGACGCATATATTCATTTCTTCACAGAAATATTTGAAATACTGTAGTTTTGTAGTACTTGAACAGTCATTTTGTGGCAGAATAGTACACAGTACTATGTCACAATCCTGCTGTAATGCTAGACTGTTCTAATGTGAAAATAGGAAAACATTTTAGGTGCAATTTTACCGGCTGTCATCATTTAACTTAAATATTCATATGATCTCTTTGAATCTCATTAAAAATGCATTACCACCACTTAATATACACTTTATTTCTGCCTGAGAATTTTCTATTCTGTAACCCTTTATTTAAATAAGTTATAATCAATATTTTTTTTATAATAGCAAAAAATCAAATTACAATGTGAAGGAGGCTTGTGGTTCACAAACACAGACTTCGCCTGTGGCCTGGATCAAACTACCAGACTTCCAACCCTACTGTAAGAATACACCCATCCAGTGCACATTGCACAACACTGTTTTAGTTTTTCAGTACAACTTATTTGCCATGAAGTCTGTGTAAATTAATACAGAATTCAAACGTTACAAAAAATATTAAACGGGAAGATTCCGCAAAGAGCTCAAAATGATCTAAAGGAGCATGAGATGTCAAACCAGACCTGTAGCAGAGCTCATTCTGGCCGGTGAACAGTTTCTTGGGCAAAAGAAAATGACTGACTACTACGAGTCCTTGCTGTTGTGTATTTCCAGCTGGTTACTTCCATCTCCAAAATTTGTTCCCTATTACTCGTTCCACAACATTGTTCTTTAAAAAAACAGAAATTATGCGCCACATTTTCCACATTGTTGTGAATAGGTCCCACCAGTCAACAGGTGTCGCTGATTATTGGTTTGCCGTGCAAGGTAGGTGGGGGCAGCTAATTATGTAGACTGAAATAAATTGGTTTTATTTTTACAACACCGACCAACTTGCATCAAAGCAAAATTAAGACCGGTCTAACCCTACAAAAAGCCAGTCGAGTCTGCAGTTACAGTCGCCTTCATAGAGCATTATCTGTAGCTTCACTACCACCGTTCACTCCCACCACTTAATGATATACAAGCACCTGTATTTACAGGGTAAAAACAGCTCTAACACCCTCTGCTCGTTATCTGCTCATCACCCAACAGTATTTAGGAGCTAACTAAAGAGCCAGATATCCCCTCAGCAGCATAGAGACCAAAACCTGAGCTAAAAGGGAGTGAATAATGGACTTGCATTCTCCAGGTAGGAAGAAACACAACTCCACATAAATGATAATGCTGCTCAGAACCCAGATGTGTAAATAAGCAGCTACTGGCCAACAGGTGAGATGTCAGTGTTGTGTTTACAAGTTGTTTTTTTCTTTTATAGAAATGCAATTCATTCAAACACTTGCATTAATTTCATAACAGGATGCATCAAATAAACAAAAGTAGGCATAATACATCAACGTAAGCTTAAGTATACACAAAGCTTTTTGTTGTGTTCACAAGTTGTTTGCTGCCCCCATGTAA